CCGGCGCTGCGCTCGCGCTTCCGGTGGGCGCGGTGCGCGCAGCGTGGGCCGCGGGCGTCCCGGCGCCGTGAGTGACCCCCGGCCCCAGTGACCCCCGGCCCGAGTGACCCGCGGGGCCCAGTGACCCCCGGCCCGAGTGATCCCCGGGCCCCAGTGACCCGCGGGCCCCAGTGACCCGCGGGCCCCAGTGACCCGCGGGGCCCCGCTGCCGCTGGGAGCGGCCCGGGGAGCCTCGGCCCGGCTGCTTCGGAGAGCGAGGGGAGCGGAGGCTGGGTCGGAGGGGATTCGGCGGCGGCGGACACTGCCGTCCCTCCCCTCGGACCTCCTGAGGCTGCCCGGCCCCGCCGTCCCGCGCCGGGGCCCGTGCGTTTCGCGGCTCGCGATGCGGGTCGGGGGCGGCAGCGCCGTGTCATCGTCCCGGCAGGTGCAGGGCACCGGCGGCAGCAGCGCCGTCAGCAAGTGCTCGGCGGCAGCGCGGGGCTACATCCAGGACCGGTTCCTGCGGCTTCTGGCGGGGCGGCGGCGGCGGCGAGCGCCCCTTATCCACCGGTGAGGAGCGAGGGCGCGGCAGCGCCTTCAGCTGCGCCGGCGGCTGAGCCCCGCGGGGCGCGGGAGGGCATCGCGGCCGTCGGGCTGCGGAGAGCCAGGAGTGACAGCACGGGGGGAACGGCTTTGAGTTGAAAGAGAGTAGGTTTAGGTTACATATCAGTAGGGAGATCTTCCCTGTGATGGGAAGATCTCAGGGTGGCGGGGCCCTGGCTCTCCGGTTGCCAAGGGCAGCTGTAGCTGCTTCATCTCTGGCAGTGTCAATGGCCTGGTTGAATACTGGGGCTTGGAGCATTTTGGGACAGTGGAAGGTGTCCCTGCCATGGCAGAAGCGTGGAACGAGGGCAGCTTAAGGTCCCTTCCACCACAAACCCTCATGCTTGGAGCTGTCAGTTGAGCAAGGCACAGCTTCTCAAACACAGTCTAAGCAAAGTACAGAGTGGCAACACGCAGTGTCCTGTCTCGCAGTAGTGTAACCGTGTTCGACTGTTAATATAATGTTACATGGCTTCTGGACCAAAACTGAATGGTTTGTCCTGAGAAGAATATGCCACCAGACTGGTTCCTAACTCCAGTGTTCAATGCTGCTGAAATCTTTGTAATATTTGTAATAACATCAACAGTTTTCTCATTAATTCCCCAGAACGTTACAATTTCTCTAAGGTATTTGGTGGCTCTGGGAAGCGAGATCTTTTGAATCAGTGGTGTCTGATGAGGAGAATGTCTCCAGAACTTTGTAAGACACAAGAATGTTTTAATGTGTGTTTGCAGAGGGCTCTAGGCTGATGACATTATGAAATTTACATAAAGTGAGGAGAGTAGTTTAATACAATCCAAAGCACTGTGAATTGCCAAAGGAGTTTCATTCAGGGGAAAATCAAATAGTGGTGCTCAAGCAGAAACTTGCAGGCCTGTGAAGATCTGTGTGGCTCATAGGAAACCTGCACTGACTTGTCACACAACATTGGCATGCCCAGCTGAATTCACAGCAGGAGCTCTGTATTGCATTTATCAACAAGTTTGGGACATCTTAGACTGTGAGGTCCCTGTGAGGTGTGAAGATGATAACATGCTTGTTAAAGGGCAAAAAAAGCTGGAATATAGCCAGGTGGATCTGGGATGAAACTAACTAAAAGAGAATGCAGAGAAACAAGAGGCACCAGTCCATGGCAGAGTAGGGAAATGGTAAATGCTTTCCAGGAGTTAGTCTGGACTTAGTTCTGTTTATTCAAGAACCAGAGAACAGGATTCCTCTCCTCACTTTGCCTTTCCTCCCTTTTTTGTTCCCTTCTCACTACATGAGCACACACATTCATTTTGTTGTTATGGCATATGGTTTGGGACAGGAACTCAGGTATCAGCCATCTGCATTGTCAGGGAGCATCATCACTGTCAGGATTCATACATTTTCAATCAGCAAATATTTACTTATGCAAAACAGAACTAGTCCAGCTGGGTTATCTGCACATTTGCTCTGAGTTATCTGTTATCCTGATGGTTAATACATACACTGGTTGCAGGAGATCTGTATTTATTACCAAGCTCTAGAGATGACAAAATCATCTCCCAGTGCAGGTCTGTCACAGGGTAGAAGCTTAGAGAAAAAAAAAAAAAATCTTAATTTTTTTAAATTGAAGCTGCCAGTGCTGGAGAAATCAGGTTTCTGGACAGTGATTACAACTGAATTTGTTCCTGCAGGGGTTATTACATCCGTGCCCGTGCTGTCGATTACTGTGTTCAGGACTTCCTGCTGAAGACACAAAGCCTACCCAGGACACAGGTACATTTTCTCCGGGACTTCTGGCATCTCTCACTAAATGTGTGTAAAGTCTTCCTGGCATCTGGGCAGTGCCTCGTTAGTGCATCTGTTGGGATCCTTTCCCAGCAGGGCACAGAAATCTGACTGGCAGTTCTGTGGCTGTCCATGTATCACTTTGGCAGCAGTATCTGGAGGGAGGCAATATCCACACAAAATTCTTCTGCTTCTTGCAGGAGGTTGCCTGATTTTGTCACTGAAAAGATAATATTTAATATTTTTCACACCTAGATGCTCAAGATGCTGCTAGAGTTGAGTATAATTTTTTCTGATACTTCTTCTGCAGATCCTGTCTTTAGGTGCTGGCTTTGATTCCTTATACTTCCGTTTGAAGGATATGGGTCTTCTGCATCACACTGTGGTATATGAGGTAGATTTCCCAAATGTGGCATGCCAGAAAGCTACGCTGATCAAAGGAGTTAAAGAGTTGTCAGCACTGGTGGGAGACACTGCAGGGGAAAGATTAGGTATGGCATTCATGGAAGATTTTTTTTTGTACAAAGTGTTTAGAAGGAATAAACACAGCTTCAGCCTTCAAAAAGGAAGGGATTATAGTAGAGGAAACTGTGAAATTGTAGATGAAAAGGATATTTATTTTATGAAAAACATTGAAACAAATAATTTGTAAGCATTGAGAGATAATAAGAAGCCAGGATGGATTTGTCAGGAGCTGATTGTATCAAACCAAGGTCAGTTTTTTTCTGTTGCAGTTTCTGAAAGGGTTGTGTCCAGCTTGGAGCATGCTGGTCCAAAACCAGTGGCAAACTGTAGCATGTGCAGTGGGAGGTTATGAGGATGATGAAGTGGTGGAGCAGTGATGTAGGAGGGCAGGCTGAGAGAGCTGGTTTTGTTCAGGTGTCTGGGAGGAGTTTGGGAGGGAGGTGAGTCTTACAGCACTCTGCAGCTTACCTATTGGGAGAGGTTAGAAAAGACAGAGCCACAGTTTTCTTGGAGGCATAAAGCAAATAGTCAAAGGGCAGTTGAAAGTGGCAACAAAAGGAAATTCCAGTGATGTATAATGAAAATGTTGGGGGATGAGATTGTGCCATATGAGTAGTTAAAAATGGGAACAGATTGCTTAGAAAGGTCATGGAATCTCCAGCCTTAGGGACCAAAATCACTACAGAGATACAGCTTGATTGGACAAATCTTTGAGCAAGATAATTGCCATGAGGAAGCATTTGGGCAAGATGACTTTTGAATGTCCCTTTCACCCTAAATTATACAATAATTTATGGGCTTGATGGGTAAGAGAGGAGGTTTGACTTTTAAGTGTCTTGACTGTAATAAAACATTAATTGTTATTTCTCCTGACTTTTTTTTTGCCCTAAAAGGCAGGAGAAAATGAGCCTTGTGAAACTGCTGCAGAATTTTGTGCCAGCTGAGTGCTGAGGGGTAAAAGGAGGAATGTAAAACATGTGGATCACTAGAGGTTTCTCCTGCATCTCTTTTCCTCCAGCATTTCCAGTACTGCTCTAGATAATGTGCTATAGAAGATGAAATGTCATAAATCTTCAGGAAACATGGGGACTTGCAATAAGATGAGTGATTGTAGGAGTTGGACAAAGTACACAAAGGGTCTGGCAAGCATGGAATGAAATGCAATATGTAAGCAGCTGTATTTAGATGGCATTGATCAATTTAAATACAGATGGAAGACAGCTATAGAGTGTGAGTTCCTGACTCCCAGGTCTTAGTGAGTAGCTCTTCCGCGAACTTGTTCATTTTCTTCCTGAATCCATTCACATTTTTGATATTGGCAGGGAGCTCTGTCCATACCAAGAATCTTCAGGTACTTAAAGGAAGGTCTCAGATAGGTTAACTGTGCTCAGGACAGATACAGTTGTTGGGCTGCAGAGACAGAGTAGGTGATTGCTAAAGGTACTTTACAGTTTGGTTTGTTACTGATGTGGTTTTGACTGAAAAGGTCAAAAATAGGCCATAACTTACTATATTCTGATGGGATACAGAAGCATGATAATGCTTGCAGATAATAAACTGGAACTTATTTCTGAGGATGGTGATCTGTGAGTCAGGTCCTGGTGTTTGCTGGGAGCTAGCATATGCACTTTCAGGACTCAGTGCTATTATACAGAAATGAAATCTGTTTAACAAACAAACCAACTAAGCCTAGGAAACCTAAGAATGGTGTTTGATTGTGAGGGGAGCCACTGAAATTCTATCAAAGCAATGGTGCTTTCTTAGCCTAAAGTGAAAGGTGTATAAATGAGAGCCTTTTAGGTTTGATTTTTAATTACACTGGTTCAAAAAAATTCTCTTAAAATAAATATAATAAAGTTTTTTTGTTACAGTAAATGTAATAATTCTGTAGGGGAAATTTGCATTAGGAATACGGGAGTTTTAGACCTGCAGTTGATGGATCACGTGGCACTATCCCTTCACGGGTCATGTAGTGATGGGGATTTTCTTGTACGTGTTCCAGAGAAATAGAGTTGATGGACATAGTGTCACTATAGGACAGGAAAAAACACAATGCGAACACGCTGCTGTTCTCAAGGTAAAAAGGGGAAGTTTATTTTCTGACTACATTTATAGATTTCCAAAGGTGACAGCGGATTGGAGGGTGACAGTGCCACCTCTCCAATGACACTGGACAAACCAACAGTCCATCACATTTCTCTTCCTCCATAAAAGAATGCAAAACAATAAGTTATTTACGGAAAGTGTGTGAGAAAGTTTGCTGCAAGAGTGTAAACATCAGAAGGCTTAGAAAATCTTAAAAAATCAGGGTGACAGACATAGCCTTGTGAGTGATTGCCTGTGGGTTTTATTTTCATGTTTGTCTCTTTTGGTCTCAATATTGCAGCAGCACCATAGTGAGGTTGTATCATTTTTATCTCCTAGGAGCCATTACCTTTTCTGGAGATGATTATAAATTACTGGGAGTGGACTTATCAGAGCTGTCTGAGCTGGAGAGAACCCTGGAGGAAGCGGGACTGAACAATGAAATCCCCACCCTCTTCATCGCAGAGGTGGTGCTCACCTACATGGAGAGCACCAGGTCAGCTGAGTTCTCCTCTCTTGCCCAGTGGTAAAGGGAAAACAGCAACCTGATTCTGAGTGCATCAC